GGCGAGGCACGGGGGAAGGGCCCTGCAGCCTTCAAATCGCCGGCGGCGCCCGGGCCGGCCGCAGGATGAGTGGCCCACCACCACCATGGTGCTGGAATACTTGATGCAGCCCAGCCTCACCCAGACTCTACTTCCAGCAGCCTCCAGGTAAGTTGAGTTTGACACCCCTGTCCTAGAGTATTATGAGATACATACGGAAAAACCAATGGCATTATTATTTATGGATGCTCAGAAAGCCTTTGATAATGTCAACTGGCAATTTATGAAGCAACAGATGACCCAAATGGAGTCTGGTGAAAAGTTTATTAATGCAATATCAAGCATTTATCAAAAGCAGTCAACTAGGATTATAATTAATGGAGAATTCACAAAGATTATAGAGATACAAAAGGGTACAAGACAAGGATGCCCGTTATTACCTCTGTTGTTTATATTGATTTTTGAAGTGTTGAATATTAATGTTGAAGTGTTGAATATTCAACACTTTAATTAATATTAAAGTGTTGAATATCAGGGATGATGCAGACATTAAAGATACTAGAATTAGAGATGAAAGCTACAAATTGCAAGCATTTGCAGATGACCTGGTTTTCATAACGGAGGAACCTTTTGTAACAATCCCTAAACTCCTACAAAGGATTGAAGAATATGGCGAGGTTACGGGGATGAAAATAAATAGAGAAAAGACGAAACTGTTAGTTCAAAATCTTACACAAGACCAGAGAAAAGTTCTGCAGGAACAAGTAGATTTGCAGATTGTCAAAAAGGTTATGTATTTGGGAATTTATCTTACACCTAAGTGTACTACTCTGAAAGAAGACAATTATGATAAACTATTGAAGGATATTAAGAGTGACCTGGAAAAATGGGCTAATTTGCAATTATCTCTGATGGGAAGAATAGCACTAGTTTAAATGAATATATTACCAAAGCTTTTGTTTTTATTTCAAATGATTCCCATAAAAATTGATAGAAAATTTTTTGATGATTTAAATTTTCAAATTTCAAGATTTATATGGAGAAAGAAGAAACCAAGGATTAAATTAAAAATACTTCAGGAAGCTAAAGAGAATGGGGGTTTTGGCCTCCCTGATTGGATGTTGTATTATCAAGCTTCTGTTTTAACATGGCCAAAAGAATGAATAACTTTAAGAAATAAGAGAATTTTGTATCTTGAAAGGCATGATTTGGAAATGGGCTGGCACACTTATATGTGGTATGAGAAGGCTAAGTCACATGGCTCTTTTTTAAGTCATTATATTAGTAAATCATTAATGTAGGTATGGGAAAAGTTAAAGATAAAACTGTATAATAAATTACCAAGATGGCTTTCACACATGGAAGCTTTTGTGTATCCAATTGCATTGAATTTTGAAGGGATTATAAGATATGATGATATTTTGGATAAGGATGGAGGATTGAAATTGAACCAAGAAACACAAGAACAGGGATCTAATATCTCTTGGTGGCATAAGGTGCAGATACAATCGAGATATGCTGAAGATTACAAAGCGTGGGGTTTTTAGAAGGACTTAACAGTGTTTGATCAAGTGATGGTTAAATCAGATGAGAAAATGATTAAAACATTATATGACTTCTTACTTGATAGGAAAATGGAAGATGAACAGGTTAAGGAAACTATGATAACGTGGGCACAAAATTTGGATATAATATTGAATTAGAAAAGTGGCAAAAGCTGTGGGAGAGAAATATTAAGGTAACATTAGCAACTTCATATAAAGAAAACTTGTATAAAATGTTTTATAGATGGTATCTGTCACCAAATAGATTAGCTAAGATGTTTCCAAATATGTCAAATGAATGTTGGAAATGTAAACATAAATTGGTTACTGTTTATCATATGTGGTGGACTTGCAATAATGTGAAAAAGTATTGGATTAAAATACATAAGTGGCTCGAGAAAATGTTACAAAAATCCTTAGCTTTTAAACCTGAAGTTTTTCTATTAGGCATTATACCGGAGGACATTAGTAAACAAGAAATGTATTTGATTTTACATATAATTACTGCGGCGAGGATTGCATTCGCTCAACACTGGAAAAGTGAGGAACTACCCACTGATGAACTGATTCTAAAAAAGATTCTGGACTGTGCAGAAATGGATAGATTGACTTTATCACTGAAGGAGAAAGAAGATACTGACTTCTATCAAACCTGGGACTCTTTTTATGATTGGCTGGAGAAATGGGACTTGGCTTAGATTTAAATATGTTTTTAAGTTATCATAAATGAAAAAAGAAGGATGTGGGGGTTGACCCAGTGGGTTCGATGTTTTTGATGATGGATGTTGTTTGTAGTTTACTTTTCTTTTTTTTTAGGACTACAATTTCAAATAAAACTTATTTAAAAAAAAAGAAGCAATGGTGAGCAGTAGCAGCACAGCTGCAATGGTGGTTGGCAGGGCTCAAGTCGGAGCCACAATTGAGCAGCGCATGGCCAGCATGTGGGGAGGCTCCCTTAGTGCAGATCAATTGGCAGCATCATTCCACATGATGCCTACAATCCTGATCAGCTCCACAAGGTGCAGCATCAGCCCACTCCCAACATTGAGCAGGATCCTACATGTATGCTCGGTGTTGAGTGTCAGGATTGGCTGGGGTGTGGCGGTGAGGTAAGGATGGCCAGGTCACAGTGGTAAGGTGGTGGTAACATGAACAGGCAGCCTGGTACACTGGGGCCCCCAGTGCCATCGTTGGAGGAGGAACCCAAGTCCTCCCACTCCATGTTGCATCTCCCTTGGGGCACTGCTTACCATCAGTCGTGGCCCCTGCTGGCTTTTCCTTCATCACGGTCCTTTTCTAGGTCATCCTGGTAAACTGCATGGCATCCTTGGTCTGCATGGTGAGAGGCTGCTCAGCCTCTGTTCTAGAAGATTTGGCAACACGGAGCACATCTTGCCAGGGAGCAAACTTGAGGTGATATGCCCACTGCCAGTGTGTTTGCTTTTTGAATGCCTAGCAGTGCAAATGACATGGCCCTCACCAAGGCAGTGTAGGCAAACAGAGTGACCATCCATCTCCAGTAAGCACACCTCACATGGGGGGCATCTTTGAAAAGCCAGGTTGGTCATTGTTGGAAAAAAGCAAGAAAACATGAGAAGGAAGGGAAAACAGGAGGGATTCTTTCTGTCCTTCCTCGGGGAGAGGGCACAAAGCAGCCTTAGAAGAAGGAACAAGAGAGATAATATTGAGGGAAGAAGACATTTTTATTTAGTAGAAATTAGTTTAAAGGAGTAACTTTTTTAAGGAAGAAAAAGGGAAAGTGAAAGCAATGTAAATAGTAGCACTACAGATTCTGATTGGTGAAGCAACCGCTCATGCAGTCAAAAAGGAACTGAGGGACTGAATGAGAGCCCAACCACTTTTACCTGGAGCCCTAGAAGGGGTGGGAAGGGGCTCCCACCCACTCCTGGTACACTGAGCAGTAGAAGTTTTTTTCTCCAATCAGGCCTTGTGCTATGCAGCAAAGCCCATATGTGCAATGCACAGAGAACACAAAGAAGGAACTGGTCCTCTAGCTTTTGCCTTCCTGGAACATCAGTAGAACCTTGATCTGGAGTCTGCCTGAGTTTTTCCTTCTTTCTCCACAGTGGCACTCAGAGGTGGAACCAAGCTTGGTATTACCAGCCATGCTTTGCATGTTTTGGTGGCCTATAGTTGAGGTTTGTTACTGTCTCTGTCCCTGGAGCTACAGTGAAATACCAAGATCTGCACTGTATCCAGGCCTGAGTAGAGTAGAGTAGGATGGCAAAACTAAGGTGCTTGTTTGAATATACCAAATCCTGCTGGTTGCTGTATATCCTGAAGGCCACTGAAAGGGTTCTTCCAAGAAATAGGTCTCCTCTAATTCTGGGCCTGAAAACAGCTGCCTGTCAAAATGTAGAAAGGAACCTTAGAAGAACCCAGCTCTGGCTAATTGGACATTTGGTACTCATGTTGAACTGCATCCAATCAAGCATGTTTCGTCCCACCTATTTCAATGGAGGGAAAATGAATATTTATCCTTCTTCCAATGGGATTAATGCATGTTTTTAATTGGCTAGTTGAAATATATTATCAGTGAAGGAGAGGCAATTTTAACAGAGATTGAAGTGAGATGCATGACTATCTGTAAAGGTGAACTATTTTGTTATGTACTGAAGATAATTTTGTTTCATAAAAGGGAGGCTACATTAATCAACTAAATGTAAGTTAATTAGACAGTGGTAGTCAATTTTAATCAGTGGAGCTGCAAGTTAACGCTTGTTTCTTTGTTTTTTCCTCCTCAAGTATCATCATAATAATGAAAAAGTAAATATTAAACATGCCCATTCTTTAAAACAATGTGTGCTAACTTCTGTTCTTTGCATTTCAACGTTTCAGAAGTATCAAAAAGAAAGGCATGCAGCATAAATGTGGCAGAAATGAGCTGAACATATATCCCTGTCCTGTAAACAAATTGCTTGGAACACAGCAAATGTATACTCACATTGGAGCCAGTGTGGTGTAGTGGTTAAGAGCATGGGACTGGGACTCAGATGATCTGGGTTCTAGTCCCCACTCAGCCATGGAGCCAACTGGGTGACTTTGGGCCAGTCACAGACTCTCAGCCCAACCTACCTCACAGGGTGGTTGTTGTGGGGATAAGATGGAAAAGGAGATGTAAGCTGCCTTGAGCCCTTTGTAGGAAAAAGGCAGAATATAAATTGAAAAATAAATAAATAAATAAATTCCACCACACTTAAAATGTACCCTATGTTGATGTTTTGGTAATATGCATACATAGCTCAGCTCAGTGAATTAATTAGCTGTCAACTGAGCAACTGGAAGCTTGAATTGGTTGATAATCCTATTAGTTCAAATTTTATTGTTTTTAAAGACTGGCAGAAGTGCTGACTGTATTCCACAAGCAGGTTTTGGCAGGAAGACAGATGGAGCCAGTTTATTCATAGTTTTCAGCTATATCAGTAACTTCCTACCTATTTAATAGCTTGCTCTTACCTGGCAGGGTTTGTGTCATCACTGTGAAACTCATCCAAGAGCCAACCTGTTACAGGGAAAGAAAAAACATCACCCCACTTATGCATAAATACATAGCTGCCTTAGCCTATCCCAGTTAGCCTGCTCAAATGAAAGCTAGAATCTGGACTCAAAACCAGCTGTTCAAAACCAGCTTGTCTGATACATTTCCCAGAGGTGACAGACCTACTAAGGCAGCATGCATATTGCAAAGCAGCAATGTAGTAACAGGTGATTAGGCCAAACTGCTCACCTGAGATTACAAGAATCAGAAGAACTCAAAAAAGAGCTGAAGCAGAATCCTCTGTCACTGAGCTCTAGATGAACAGCTAGAAAGTTAGAAGGTTCAAATGTATGTTTCACCCAAGAAACCAAATTGTGGCTCTGTTTAGCAAATGCTGTTTAGCAAATTTCTGATACTATGAATTAAACCTGGCCTTGCCCAAGTAAAATGTGTAGCACCACTGAGCTAAGCCCCCATTTGTAAAATAAACTCATTCAAAAAATTTTTAAAGGCCATTCTGCTGGAAAACAGGCATGAGTTTGGATCAAAGCAAAGCTCTTTGCAAGATCTTGGTAATGCAAGATATTGGTAATCAGAAGTACCAGAGAGCTCATCAAACAAGACTTTGAAAGAATGTAGCACCTGCACCACTTGCTTAACAGAGAGGGCAGTAAAAAAACAATACCTCATATGTATAATTTGGGCAGGAAACCAATGTAAACAGCCATGTGAAAGGGTTGATTGATGGACTTGGAAAAGAGGTTTTATTTCCTTCAGGAAAAGAGAGACAAAATTTCATCACAGTAAGTTCAGAAATTAGAATAGGTTTATTTCATACTATGAATTGCTCTGATGATTAATACAGAAGTTACCCTCAGTATAAAATTATATGTACTTCAGAATTGCACTATTAATGTAAACCAGTTTCAAATTCATTCAAAGTATCATAGTTCTCCATCAAGACTTTCTGGAAACAAGTCTTATGGAGTGACTAACAAAAGGGTCTCCCCACTTTCACAGTGCTATAGTTTTCAAGATTCTGTGGGAGAACATTTTAAATCAGTTGTGAAGTATTTTAAATTGTGTCAAGTTGATGTAAAATGACAGTGCAGTGCATAGAATCATACAGTTGGAAAGAACCTAGCAAGCCATTGGGTCCAACTGTCTGCTCAATGAAGGACACAAGTCTCCCACACAGATTCTAACCAGGCCTTACCCTGCTTAGCTTCCAAGATTAAGCAGGATCAAGCACTTCAGGATATATGGAATTGGAACCTGGCAGGAAAATAATTGCAGCATTTGTGGCTTATCTTATTTTCCAAAGAGGATATGTTGTAGCTGTCATGAAATTTAATGAATCCAACACAGAAATCCTGGAGTTGTACATCACTTTAACAATATGGTACAACCTCCATTCAAGATTTCAGGATTCCTCTTCAGTCAGAGCCCTCCCTGATCCATTAACCTATCTTAGTGAGGCCTAGAGGAGAAGAGGTTGTGGCATCCCCAGAATGGTTCCAGGCCTGACCATGCATGGAATCAAGTAACTTTAAATGATCACAGCTTTTCTGCCATCTATCCTTGGTATGGCTCTAGAGCAGGCCTAGACTATTGATCAGATAAAGCCTGTGTCATTTCTGTGTGACTCCTTTCTGTAGGACTCACCCATTCCCCTGCCCCAGTGCTGACAGCTTTATGCTCCAATATGCACTTTTCCTTGCTTAATGTTAAGGGGGAAAAGGTGCCCTCAAGACTGCATAAGGCAAAGCTGAGCTGGTTGGGAACTCTCTCTCTCTCTCTCTCTCTCTCTCTCTCTCTCTCTCTCTCTCTCTCGTGTGTGTGTGTGTGTGTGTGTGTGTGTGTGTGAAGTATGGGTGCATGAATAGAGTTGGTGTCTGTGTGTGGGAAAGAAAATGTGGTGGAAGCATGTCAACTGTCATGCGTGCTGACTCAGAAGAGTCCTTAGCATGCGCACAAGAGGAAGAAACTTCCCATGAGAACCAGAGGGCTGAGGAGGATGTATGTCTGGTGCCAGCAGAACAAGCAGCACTCCCCAACAGCACAGACTATGGGAATGAAAGTTCAGCAGATAAGGGAATTCAGGAAGAAGCCAAAACTGTAGAACAAGCAGAAACCAATTTGGCAGTAGCTGAGGAAACAATTGCACCACCTGGAGATACGGATGGTGGAATTGTAGGAGATAGCACTGGTGAGGCAATCGAGGATGCTCATTCCTGCAGACACATGCGCAGATTGGGACAATTAGAATCAAGATTGATTGAGCGATGCAGGGAAAGGAGTCAAAGTGACCCACCCACAGAGGGGCAGCCCAGGAGAGTAAAAAGCAACCCATGAGCTGAACTCGTTCAGAAAGAGGAAAACTTCTTAGCTTACTTGAATGTATTTGTAATACTGTGTAGAATAAAGGCTTCTGTATCATTAACTGGAGTGACTGTTTTTGTTGGGAAGGAGCACCAGCCTCACAACATCAACACTTACTCCCTCTACATTAGAAAGTGGCCCCAACTGCTGCTGGCATGTGGCCCAGGGTCAATTCAGCACTTACACCAAAAAAGGTTGCTTCCTATTCTAGGGCTGAGGTTGGGCATTTGCTAAATACCCAAGATCAACAAAAAGCCCATGAACCCAACATGACCACCATTCTACCTTTAAATAAAGGTACCCAAGAAGTTTTAAGGGTTGAAAAACATGTCAGCTCAAGACCAGATGTAAAGCTTGCTCATATTACTCAAGCTCTGCAAAGCTGAGAAAAATTGGAAGTTTAGGCTAATGCCTTAACAAATATGTCCCATTGGCAGTATTGATATTGTGTAATGTCAAAAATTGTATTTACTTAAACTGCCCTCCACACCTCTCCTTTGGTCTTTCAGGCTCAAATCTAAATGGGGAGAATGAAGTATTGGACTAGCAAATATGCCTCACATTGTCCTGGTCCATCTGAACTTCATGGTAGCACTAGAAGAATTCTCCTGTGGGTTGACCATGCCTACCTGTTGCTTGTAAGCAAGCACAACTTCTGATACTGTGTGATATCATTACTGATCACAGGGTACATTTGTTAAGGCATAAGCCTTCTGCTAATTTCCCAGCATTGTGGAATTTATTCACAAACCAAGAAACACATACAAAGAAGTCATTAGGTGAGTAGATGGGTATAAGCAAATAGATATGTCCCTGTATGTTCAGAATAGCTTGCTTCTGAGTTGAACCTACAAAGGATTCCAGCAGAGGTTTTTTCCCCCTTTTCTGTCCTCAACTGATTTGTCGATTGGTGGGAGTGATCCTTCTAAGGATACCTTTAAGGATATCTTGGGGGAGAGACAGAGTAATTATGGGAGATTTCAATCTCCCAGATATTAGTTGGGAGACTCACTTGGCGGTGACAGCCAGGTCACGTTGCTTCCTAGAAGCTATAGAGGGAGGGTTTTTCATACAGAGGGTCCGAGAGGTGACAAGGGGGGGAAATATCCTTGACTTGGTCTTGACCAATAGAGAGGAGCTGATAGATGAAGTACAGATTAGGGGAGCTCTGGATGCGAGTGATCACTCCATCCTTTGCTTTGAGATCAGGGGACTGCGGATGGGCAGCAGGTCGAGCACTAGAAGCTGGGACTTCAAGAGGGCCAACTTTGACCAACTGAAGGCCAGACTGGGGAAAGTCTCCTGGGATAGGTTACTGGAAGGGAAGCGGGTTGAGGAGGGGTGGATGGCACTCAAAAGGGAGGTTTTGGAGGCACACAAATTCTTTTTCAAAACAGTCACAGCAGGGAGACATTCCTCTAGGATTGAGACAGTATCCCCAAAACCATATAGAATGTTAAAGAAGATGCCATAGGTACACCAGTGAAAAATAAACTACAAACCTGATTGATTTTGATGAACTAACGCCACATTGATAAAATGATTCCCAGCTTCACACACCTGCAAAACATTTCAAATATTGTTCTTATATTTTCAGGATGTAATTGTACAATTACATATTTAGGTAGCAGGCCCCAGCCTGGTGGAGAAGATTTAGACCATCCTATGAATATCACAGTAAATTTGCAATCAGAACTCATAGACAAGGAGGGAGAGTCCTCACACTTGATAAGAACAAGGATACCAAGAACAGAAAAGATATTGCTCTCAAATGACATCAGCAAGAAACATCAATGAGAGAATGGCTTGTACAAATTACCTGATCTATGTCTTGAATCTATGTATTAATTTTCAGAATATGTCCTTCTAAGCATATTGTTTAGATTAGGGGTGATGAATCTTTTCTAGCTCAAGGGCTAGGTTCAACTTTTGTAGAGATTCCTAGGAAATGCACTCTGATGGGGCAGGGGAAGTAAAGGGAGTAGAGACAAAGGCAAATGGAATGGGACCAGGTTTCCACAATACAAGTAAAATTTAGTGCTAAGTTCTTAATACCAGGAAAGTTGCCTTAGCAGAGGTATTGCAACCCTTCATTTAGATTTAGATTTCTGTAGCACTGACTTTCAAGTCTAGCCCACCATTTTTTGCAGTTCTAGGCAGGTAACAAAGCCAAAGGTTTCATGAAGCCCACAAAGTACTACCATCTCTATATGTTATTAAGCTGTGTTTGGCTTGTGAGGTGCAGGGCTACAATTATGAACATTATATTTTAAGAGGGAAGGCATAAACATGCTAATATGCTCACTACTTGGTTTTTGTTTTGATGTTTGTTTTGCTATCAATGTTTGTATATGTTCCAAATCAGGTATTGTGCTCCCCTAAAGTTCTTCTCTGGCTTCCCTAAAGTTCTTTTCTGTAAAAGGAAATTCGGTTTATGTGGCACTTACAAAGCTATGTTCAATGAAGAAGAAGCTTTCATTTGGACATCTAAGCAAATTGCACAGAAATTGAAAATGTCCCCTTTTGTTAATTCATCTACTTGTTGTCCAAGTCCTGGACACCAATCACAGGTGCTGATTTGTAAAAGTACACAAACAGTGATGTTAAGACTCCAAGGAACCAGTTAAGTCCAGGGAAGTACCCAGGCCAGAAGAACAAATGTGCTCTGAAATCTCTGAGCACAACATAAAAACATTGCATTTTCATTAACTCTATGGCTTTGTGAAGGAATGGTTGGTATGATCACAGGTTATATGAATAACAATTATGTTTTCTGGTATCACCATATCACTGAACTGTGAACTTATTGCTAATGTATCAATGCCAATCAACAAGTGTTAGTAATAAAGAAAATGAACACCAGGAAAATTCAGATGGGATGCTAACAAAAACCTACTCAACCAAAGAGGTTGTCTGCCAGACATATTTCTAAGTGCAAGATTCGACTATTCCATCCACCTTGTGACTTTTTCATGCCCTCTTCCAAATTATATACTAGAAGCCCAGGATTCCAGTATACTTTTACCTACCCTCTTGGGAGAGGATATACAAAACATGCACACCATATATTTTCCATCATCATATTTATTATTCTCCCACCTTCCTGCCCATACATACCAGAAACACAAGGGCAGCAAAAGAAACTTGCTTGTTCCCAAATGCTAGAAAACACAATGAAATCATACATTAGTCTTATGTATGATCTGAAAGCTGCTTGGGTCTTTCTTTTAGCTATGTAATGCATGGGTCTTGTTCTAGTTGGAAGCCTCACTCTTGATTTTTCTACATATGACTGCACTTCAGAACCTATGAAGCTTGAAGACTCATACTAAGACATGATGCTAATTCATTTCTACATCTTTAACTTCACAATGTTTCAACACAGATGAGTTCCATTACTAAGTCTGCTTACAGGCATGATTATCACATTGCCACAGACTTCTCAAGGCAGATTGTACAAGCACATTCCAAAAATTAACCAGATTAATTTCTTAGATGTCTTTTACTCATGGAAAAAGTAATTAGAATCCAGATTGG